GGCAGAATCACCAGTGACAGCAGGCAAGTCACTACCCATTCCCGCAAGCCAGGCTCCCCAGCTGCAAAGGGCGAGTGTTTCAGTACCACCCTCGCCCCCTCCGTGGCCTGGGGCAGACGCAGCGGCGCTGCCTCGCCCCCTCCGTGGCCTGGGGGAAATGTCAGAGAAGGGCAAAGTGCTCTGTGAGTGTCACCCCTCAGGAGACCAACCCCTCCCCAAGGCAGGAAGCCCAGGAAGCGGCGGGCTAGTCTCCCAGCCTCCTGGCACAAGCCAAGCACCTCTTGCATGCTGAGATGTAGTGCTGGGCCACAGAGCTGCTCCCTCCTCCCCTGACGTTCAGCGGCTCCTGCCAAGAATGGGCACTCAGCACACACTGGGGGGAGGGGGGGAGGGGCAGCAGCAAGTCTCCAGGCCTAAGTCCACTGACTCATGCTTGCGGGGCTTGTGCGATGGGGATAAAAATAGAAGCACAGGTCTTTGCTCAGGCTGCAGCCTGGGCTTGGAGAGTCCCCTCACCCCTTCCCAGTGGCCAAGTCTCAGAGCCTGGGTGGGAACACGCCCATTGCTAGTTTCTATGCCTGGAGCCCGAGCCCTGCAAACGTAAGTCTGTGCCTCAGCCTGGCTCAGCCATGTCACTTCCGGCCGTGTGAATGTCTCCTTGGATTCTCACTGTCCCACCACAGGAAGTGCGTCAGTCTGCACCAGCAGGAGGGACGGAGCAGCAACCAGAAAGGCTTGGGCAGAGCACGGGGAGGAGGAAGGAAGATCAGAGCAAGAGCACTTCCTGCAGCCGCTGGGGGGTGTGGAAACTCCAACAGCAAATGGATGGGCAGGAGATTAGAGCACAGACGCCCAGCCCAAGGAGGACTACGGCGGTGGAACCCAGCAGTGCTGCACAAGTCTGAGGGGTGGATAGGAAGGAGCTGGGTGGGGAGACAGAAGGGAGTGAGGATGTGGACAAACAGAAAAGTACAGTTACAGCTTCTTGACAGGCACATGGGTTAGGCTGTCAACCTTTCAGAGGCAGAGGCCAAAGCCCCAGAGGGGCCCACTCCGCAGTGGGAATAGACAGGGCTTTGCCTGGGTTAGATGAAACACAGGAGTGCAAATTCCACTCTGACTGCTGGGTCCGGCCCTTTAGCTAGTTACCACTGGCTCTCTTGGCCTGGCTAGCCCCCAGCCAAAGCATCACATGTACACGGGGACCGAACCGAGTGTGGAGAAGGCACAGGCACACTGAAGAGTTCTGGAAATCAAGAACCACCAGAAGGACTTCAAGGGGTCTGGCTGGCTCCTGAAAGCCCACCATGGGATCAGCCTGGCTACTTGAGAGGCACCTCTCCCTTTGCAAACACACCTCCCAGCAGAATGCAGCTATCGGCCAGCTACAAGAGCATGGAAAGAGAGCAGGAAAAAAAGTTTACTGAGGAGCCAGACCTAGGCTATGGAATGCACTTCTGCAACTCCCTGTCTCTCCCCTCCTGCCCTGCTCTGGAGTGGGGACAGACCTCTAACTCTCCCCTCCCCCTTTATGTAGGGCAAAGAGTATTGGTGTCAACCCTTGGGAGGGATTTCACTCCTACAGGGAAGTCACATGTCCCAGTAAACCCAAGGCACTGAGCAGCCAACGAGGACAGGGCCCCTCCCAGTCCACACCTCCACCATGGAGAGACAGACAGCTCAAGGCCACAGAGACAGAAATTAGGGAAATAAAATCCTGTTGAATTGGTTACCTGGTTAAACATGATGCTTAACTGGTGAGCTGATTGGGGGGCAGACAAGGGGACTGCTTCAGCCCAGCCCTGTCCACAACGGGCACATTACAGGCAGGGGCAGCTCTGGGTGGCTGGAGCAGCCCCTGCCCACACAGGCCACTTGTAGGGCTGGAGGGGGAGCTGCTCCAGCCCCCACCAGTTAACCAGAACCACCGGTTAACCTTTCACACCCCAAGCAGAACTGGCGACAGGGACTGGGAAAGCCTGTCCACCCTGCAGCCCCATACGCCTGTGATCCAAAGCAGCCCTTGGATTCCGTGCCCACTGGGATGCACCTATCCGCTCAGAGCCTGACTGCAGCTTCCCGGGGCCACCGGCTGATGTTCAGGGTCACAGATTGGATGAGATGGGCCAGCCCAGCTGTCCCTTGGCCAGTGCTACTGGCAGTTGCCTAAGAGATGCTTTAAGCCACAGGGAGCGAGCTCGCTGACCAGCCCTGGCACCCTCTGCTGTACGCTCTCTGGTTCCACTCCAGGGAACAGCGACCTTGCTCCATCCCAGGGTGGCTGATCCCGTCACAGGGCAGGAAGTGAAGAACCCATGAGAACCTGCTCCACACAGGTCCCCTCCTCCACTAGCGCTAACACATGCTCTAAGGCAGCCGTGGAACAGAGTACTCACACTCAGTCTGACCAGGATCAGACAGCCCCTGCACTCTGGTGCAGCAGGGCCAGCTACGTTCCCAGAGCCTAGCATCTCTGCTCTTCCTGCATGGAGATGGTCCTGTTCTCAGGGACTGGCTTCTTCCCAGGAGCATTTCAACCTGTTCCACCTGTCTGACAGGAAAGGGCAAGGTTCCTTCCAACAGCTGCGCCATGGCAGGGTGCACACAGGCCACAATCTAATCCACACATGGACTAGCCTTTCTGAGGGCTTATGCTCCTGTTGGCTCCATACAACAGCACCCCATCACACAAGAACTAGGGGTCACCCAATGAAATTAATAGGGAGCAGGCTTAACACAAACCAAAGGAAGTGTCTCCTCATGCAACACACAGTCAACCTGTGGAACTCCCTGCCAGAGGAGGTTGTAAAGACTAGGACTTTAACAGAAAAGTCCTAGAAAAAGAACTAGAAAGATTGATGGGGAACAGGTCCCTCGATGGCTCTTAGCCAGGCTGGGCAGGGAAGTGACCCTAGTCTGTCTGTCAGGGGCTGGGAATGGGCGACAGGGAGGGATCGCTGGAGGATTCCGTGTTCTGTTCACTCCCTCTGGGGCACCTGGGATTGGCTACTGGCAGCAGACAGACACTGGGCTACATGGCCCTTTGGTCAGACCCATGTTCCCCCTTCATCCCTCTGCTCTCTGCAGCCGACCAGAGCCTGGGCCCGCCCCGTACACAGGCCAGCTGCAGGGAGAGAACGCTCTGCCTCTGCCATCACCCTGTGCAAACAGGAGGCCCCGAGCCCGACCAACACGTGGGGAGACGTTGCTCAGGGAGTCTGAAGGAGCCAAGCTTTAGGGTAGACATGGCCAGGTCGCCGTCTCGTTACCGATCTAACCCCCAGCTCTGGGGAAGGGCATTTACTACAGCGATGGAGATCTCCCTCCATCGCTCCACTGCAGCCTTTCCAGCCCAGGCACTCCTGTAGCAAACCACCCACCGCTCCTCCCCGAGCCCCCAGGCTGAGCTCGGTGGCTAGAAGGCCACCCCAGCCAAGAATCTGCCCTGGCCGCATTTGCCATGTGGGAACAAGGCCCAGCCCAGGGTCCTTACCCCCTGCAGCAGGAGGCATACCTGCCACCCACACAATGGCACAGTGGTGCAGGAACAGAGCCTCCTTGCCCCATGCACCCCACTCCCAGCTGAGGCCGAGGGCAAAACCCCAGCACACAAGGCCAACAGTCGACCCCAGCCAAGAATCTGCCCTGGCCGCATTTGCCATGTGGGAACAAGGCCCAGCCCAGGGTCCTTACCCCCTGCAGCAGGAGGCATACCTGCCACCCACACAATGGCACAGTGGTGCAGGAACAGAGCCTCCTTGCCCCATGCACCCCACTCCCAGCTGAGGCCGAGGGCAAAACCCCAGCACACAAGGCCAACAGTCGGGTTCTTGGCTGCTCCCTCGCTGTGTGCAGAGCTCTGACCGCACCTGAGCACGCGGGACTGGCAACAGAACCCCCAGCACAGGGGCTGGCAGCCAAAAACCTGAGGCCCAGGGTCGGCAGTAGGGATGCCAGGTGCTAGGCTGGGGGTGCAGCAGTACCCGCTTGCCTATGGCAAAGGCCTTCCCAAGGAGACTCTCTTCGGCTTAGACAGGAAGTTTCCTCACTCTCAGCCCAGTCCGCTTAACACCCCCGTGGCCGAGCACCTCTCCCATTTCATGCCACCTCACCCCCACCAGCACCCCTGAACTCCCCCACTTCCCCAGGCAAAGGGAACAAAGCAGAGCAAGTGATCCCAGGGGAAGCTGCACAGAGCACTAGAGAGACTGCCAGGGAGCAGGAGTCAGTACAGGCACACAAGAACGCCCACCAGAGCCACAGCGCCTCTGCACATAGTTCCCTACCACCCACCATGCACTGGCCACGCCCCAAGAAGCCTCTCAGGAAAGGCAACCACAGGCAGAAGGGGAAGGGGCGGGCCAGCCAGCTGCTGAGTCACTGCCAGTCCTGCCCAAGAATGGGGGCTGATAGCCACTTAATGATATGGTCCAGGAGATTCGAAATTCCTCCGCCCCCTCTCTGCACAAGCACAGCACTGATCCCCTAACGCACAAGAACTCCACAAGCCTCCTTCAATCCGGCACTGGCCCCCCAGCGCCAGTCCCAAGAGTCTCCTTCCCACAGATGTTCCCGAGAGACCCACACAAAGGCCATGCACCTACACGCACAGGCTCTCATGAAAGCCAAGCTTCATTCCAGGCCGTGCACAAGGCCTGGCACTGCCATCTGGCACGGGGGGGGAGCAAGGAATCTCTCAATGGGACATTGATGCCATGGCCTGGAAGGGACACGGCGCTCTCATGCCATGGAGCCGGCAGCCAATCCCAAGAGCCAGAATGCAGCTGAGCCTGCAGCAGGTGCCACGCATGGACTGGTAAGCTGCCCTGCAACAAGAGGGGCACCGGGACAGTTGGGAAAAGTCACGTGAACATTTGCTGTTCTGTGCCCCCAAACAATTCCCCTCAACTCCCTCATCCGCGGAGCCCAAGTCCTGCTTCACACAGCGCATGCAGCTTGGAGGTGTGGAACCCCTCTGGCGCGTCCCAGTGGAACGTTACCTTTTCTCCAGACAAAGCTGGCGCTCAGGGATGGGCTTGCGATTTCTTCTGCTGCTAGCTGGAACAAGACAGGAAACCCCTTAGAACAGGAAGGAGAGCGCTGAGTAGCAAGAGCTGGAATCAGGGAGAATGGTCCAGCCAGGAGAGTGGGAGTGGCCCTAGGGAAGAGCTCCTGGCCCAGGTGAGATGCTCAGAAGAGGTGGAGCCATCAGGTACTTGCCAAGGCAGCCAGAGCAGGCCAGGCAGAGGAGATGGGAGTAGCTGGAGGAGGGACACGCTGAGCAATCTGTGGCACCCACGTGACAGGAGCAGCTCCGACTGTCAGGGCCCAGGGAACGGGCAGCACTGCTGGGGGCAGGGCAGTGCCTGGAGACCCAAGTGTCCTCAGCACGTGCCTGCACTCGCCCTCCATGTGAATGGGGAGGCTGCTCAACACCCGACGGTTGGATGGATGGGTGTGGGGAGGCTCACACTGGGCAGGGCAGCCAGACCCCCCCCACACACGTGCCTGCACTCGCCCTCCATGTGAATGGGGAGGCTGCTCAACACCCGACGGTTGGATGGATGGGTGTGGGGAGGCTCACACTGGGCAGGGCAGCCAGACCCCCCCCACACAGACGCCTGCACTACCCGCCAGACTCCCCCCACACGCACCTGCATACTACATGCCAGACCCCCCACACAGACGCCTGCGCTACCCGCCAGACTCCCCCCA